ATATATATATATATATATATATATATATATATATATATTTATATGCCACATATTAGATGATAATTTGTTGCAAGTTTATGTAAGTGTTAGTGTTGTTTGTCGTTGTTGTTGTTGTTATTGTTGTTGGTATGAAACCTTTATTCTCTTCATTTATTATTATTATAGTAAGTTACTTTCGAATTTCATATCAAATTTATTAGTTTTACGTATTGCTATAGAGACTCTATGCATTTCGTTTCTCTTGTTTGTATTATAACGATCACCTTTCTAAAAACTAAAAAAATAATTCTTTGCTTTGAAAAATTATTGTTTTAAATTTTCTTCTGTATAATCATGTAAAGTATATGCTGGCGGGCTGGCGTCATTAGAATTATTTTATGATTACTGAAATTACTTGAGAAAAAAATGATTGTGAAATTTGTATATTTTGCACTTTACTTGCAAACAACTTAACAACTTTTTCTTAAACTAATCGATTATCGGAAAATTTATGCTGCACACAACGCATGTAATCCAATATTTTCACTTTAATAACGGTCACGTACTTTCCCGATTAACGGGGATAAGCATATTAATTAATATTTACTTTATTTGCCTTCGAAAAGCTATAAATCATTATCTGCACTAACTTTGCTAGAGCTCTTTGCAAAATATTCAACTTAATCGTCAATCCTGAAATAGAAATTTCCTAAATACAATTAATGTGAACAACAATAATTAAAAGTTAAAAATAAATTTGATTTTCAACAGGATTTTACGATAATATTGACTGTATTCCCGTGTAGGGCCCCTAAACAAAGTAATTAATATCAAGGTTAACAGTAAATGACAAAGGTTTTCTTTTCCCATACAAAGTGCTATTAACCAGACTTGCATGAATCATGATCAAAATACCATTTACAAATGACCACTAACCACACTAATATCTTCTACAAATGACCACTAACCGCTCTTATTTCATAGACTTATGGCTTACGACTATGAGACTTTTGTCTCAATCGCATGCAATATCTATCGCATATATCGTATATCAGATAATTATATTTTTGTCCTTGGTTAATTACAGTTTAAAACCAGTCTTATCAATATATAATTTTTGACAAGTTTTGAAGCGCTCAGATTGATTTTTTTAATTTTTCGAGCTAAATGTGAATTTTTGAGGGTAACCGTAGGAACTTTGAACCATCGATAATTTATGAAAGAGGGGCGCGAGACTGCCGGTCCATTTTGCTGATTAATCAACATGAGCTTTCAAAGTAAGTCGAAGGTGTGATCGAAAAATTGAACCAATCCGAACTCAAAGCCGATCTGCGTACCAAATTTTATTAAAGTATTTCAAAAATTACGACGCGCAGGTTGAATCCAAAAGCATGGACCGATGGACATGCTAGCTTAGATTCACAACCATTCCCGGACTATTTCATACGTCCACCCACAAATTTAATATACTCTATACGCATTAGATTACTTATTTTGTTTCCAATAGATTTGAAAATGGCAGACGCAAAAAAGACGGGCAGTCATTCATGTCATGTCGAGAATAAATATATTCTAAGAATATTGGATGTACAACATGTTTCTATGGCTTAGAAAAAATGGGAAATTCGAAGGTTCCTTTAAGCGCAAATATAAAAAAAAAGTGAGATCAAACAGAGGATATATTATATCGAATATCAAGCGACACGTGCACAGTCTTATAAAACCGAAGAAGACGTATATTTTCGATTTAGTATAATTCGATTTCTTCTTTGGAACTACATTCGAACTTATTGCATGAGATATTTTTATAATTTATTTATCTTTTTCTGTTTACACAGGGCATTGATATATCAATGCGTCGTCGGTTATCGACACCCAAAGCTAGTCCGCTTCTTATAAAACGTACCTCATCGCCGATAGATAAAACCCATAAAGAGTCATCGTTAGCCAGCAAGCCAGAGAAAATCAGTTGGTTTAAATCTTTGGATAGAAGATCGAAAAGTAAATCCAAGGAAAAGGTAAATTTGAAAGTTAAAATTACTCTTACGTTCTTTAGCAATCCATGTAACAATTACAGATAAATGTAACGGTAAATGAACCAAACGAAACCCCATCAAGTAGTATGAAGCGTGCCAAGCCTTCGACAAGACAGCAAACCCCTAATAATACAACAACCATAGCACCACAACCGGCCAAAAATTTAAGATTTTTTGGCGACACAGATGTGGATTCAAATCCACCAACTATCTCGAAGGCCAACACTGCGCATAAGTAAGAAAATAATAGTACACAGTCTACAGAATTAATAAATTTTTCGATTCTTTTCTGTATTCATAGAAGTCGTCCCGCTGTAACCGCAACACTGAATCGGTCACAAAAATTTTCTCAAAGCGCTTATCATTTAGATCGCATTGCTGGCGCAGAGGGAAGCCCGCAACGTCAAGATTATCGACAAGATTTGGCTACAGCTTCATTAGCTAAAAATAGCGTAGCAGGGAGTCGTCTCAAAAGTACCTCAATGAATAATTTAGAAAATGGTCATTGCGATGAGGTAGATTTTCGAAAAAAACGTCACTATTCACGTTCACGTGAGCTTCACGATATCTCGGAGAGCGGTTCAGAAACCGAAGATCAAAATAATAAGCGTCCAAATGGCGGTTTAACCGGATCGAAAACATTGTCACGCGATCGTTTAGATCGTACACATCGGTATGACGATCACACGTATCGACGTAGCAATGAACGTCATGCTTTGGCGACAACGACATCATCGTCCGCTGCTAACGGTAACGGGGACACTAGTACTGGCTCCCAACAGCATCAATCCGGACGAAACATGCCACCGTACTTGACGGGACCACCAAAGCCCGCACGCAGTACAGAAAGGCGTGCCATGTCGTACTCAAGGTAAGAATAAAGAAAAACTCGAGCATCAGGATTGAATCATAGGGTTACCCAATGCGGTGGAATTTACTTTGGTCGTAGCTTAATTCGTAAAGGCTATTGGCCGATTGGATACATCCCCACTGGACTACGTTCGCTTCACTACCTTTTTCTCTTTCCACTCTTCCTTCCGTCCGCGACCATATCATACCGATATGGGACATCTCTGAGTGTTGAGCTATGTCATAGTAATAATATTAATAATAAAAATATGTAATTTTTTTTTGGAACCATAAAAATTATCATCGAGAGCAACGATATGACGAACTTTTATTGTTTCAATGTGATGAGTGACGGATGTTTTCTTATTATTTCCTTGCGTTTTTAGGGAACGAGAACGTTTTCCAGCTGAAAGTTCCGGTACAGAGGGTGAGTCCAGCTTACATAGTCAACGTAGCGTTGTTTACTTGCATGCTACAACCGTTGGTGCCATACCACAGCCATACCATTTAAGGCGTCGTTCCATTTCAAAAGACGATTTACAATCAAATAAAACTAAAAGTCAACCACAAGCATTGCAGCCTATGACACGTACGGTATCACGATCCGTATCGATGTTGGCCCCTTGGAAACCGAAATTAATTAGTGAAGGCTACGAAATTAATTATTCTCAGGAACAAAAGAAAGCAGTAAGTAATGTTCATCATATTTTCGAGCCAATAATTTCGCATCATTTTCTCTAATACCAGATGACTACACTGCCACGTCATTCGACGCAGCCAACGAATTCGAATGTCGGTAATACTGTGACACGTCCCAATAAGCGCCACGATCCTGGGCGTACAAGACGTCAAGAGATTATTAAAGACGACGAGTCTTCATTAAGAAATTCTTCGACTACTAGTGCCTCGAAATCGGCCCTATCTACGAACTTAAGACGAAAACTCAAATGAAATGATTTTTTTTGATATATTTTTTGTTTTTTCATTGTACTTATTTAAAAAAATTCCCCTATTAATCAAATGCAAATTCATTGTTTTCAACTCCTTTTCTTTTTTTTTTTTTTGACGTACAAATGTTTCAAACGACTGTTGAATAAATTTGCAAAATTTTTCACTCAAAAGAATTTACTGGAAATAACAAAAAAAGGAAAAAAAAAAAAAATAAGGTGCATGTTTTACTTCCGTTATCTTACAGCGAAAATACCCAAAAGCTTTTAGGTTTATTTTTATTTTATATATGTATTGTCTTACAATTAATATTAAATTAAGTGTAATAAGCACTATAATGCTCTCTAATGAGTTAAGCTTTAATTAATAACAAAAAATGAAATATATCGTAATTCTTAACAGGAGAATAAATTAAATATAAATTAATTAAGATTTTTCTAAAACAATAATTATATAATAATTATTAAATTTCCATATTTTTTTCAAATTTTACGAAAATAACAAAACAAAAAAAAATTAATCCTTATATACATATATAATAAAAGGAATTACTTTAAAATAAATAAAAAAAAAAAAAACAAAAAAAAGAAAACACATGAACTATAAAAGACTTGTTTTAACCAAGTTGGCCAGAAAGTACTTCTTCGAATCAATCTTGGAACTTTATTCTTTCTTATAAAAGCAATGCTTCGAAAGCTCTTCTCTAACGGGGGAAACACCGCATTTGAAATTACATTTTTATAAGTTTCACATGATTATGTTGAGGTAAAATGGGAAAAAATGTGTTTATGTTAACATTTTCTTTTTGGGCTAGAGATACCGTAGACATTATATAGCCTTCGTCAGCGTTCGAGAAATATATATCACAGAGAAATTTGTAAAATATTTCGAAAGCAAAATAAAATGTTACTATATTACTATCATTAAGATAAGTTATGCACATATCAACCAAAGTCGCCGGACTTGTTTTGATCCTACACGTGGTTATAAGTTATTGCTGTATATTGAAAGTAGGAGAAAGGTATTTTACTTTCCACTCAGTTTCTTTTACAGCAAGGAGGTTATTGTCCTCTTGTGAGTATTTTACGGATGCTGTAATAGGTAACAACTGCATAATTTGTAACAAGGGTTTATCGTGGGTTCCTGCCTGAAAGGCTTAACCCCACGGTGGCCCAAGCCACTTTAAGCGTACTACGCCCCCTGGCGAGTTAGACAATCCCCGCAGGGTAGGGGCCTAAACAACACCAGAGTCCAGAACGATGTATTGTGTATGGAACAATAAACCCCACTCTGGTCAGTGGTGAGGCCTAGCTGCACTCAAATTGTTCCACTTTGGCTAGGAACTTGCCGACCACAACCGCCACGAGTACTACCCGAAGGGCCGCACCCAAGCAGTCAGGACTCACAAATTGATCAACGATATGCGTTCAAAAAGGGTAAAAATTGCGCTCGCTTCCGCCATTAGGCTTCCACGGCGCCGTTGATCAATTACCACCATTACCCGCAGGCACCCATGGCATATATTCAAAAGTAAAAATAAGGCAAATCCCTTTTTTAACTTTGCATGTATTAATTCTCAAGAGAGTTTATTAATTAATAGGCCAAAGGGAAGGCCATCCGTCAATTCCTTTTTGTATAATTAACTCTCTCCCGAGAAAATTTTAATTCCATCGACTTTATGAACAAAGTCCATCATACATCCGCAGGCATACGTGGCTTTGTGAGGCGAGCCTCCTGACCCCAGTGGCTCCCAGTTTGTTTTACAAAGCCTTTGGCATACTTTGGGCGGATGTTAAAAACAACCGTACTTGCTTCGGATTCTCCATACTTTCCTGGTTGCCAACACCAGTGAACTACTTTTCTTCGAGATATATAGGTCTCCGGTATTACACTGACATGGCAGAGTAATCTACCATGCACTCGCTAGATTACTACCTTCAACGTACTTAAAAACCATTCATTCATATATTTCCTCGGTAGTAACCGGTTATTGAGTGAAGAGCTAATCTTCCAGCCAACCTCTGCACCATCTCTTAGAAACTCGTCGCCGAGTTAGTAGCCCAAAACCTTAAACTCTTCTTAGCCGGCCGAAGCCGTTGCCCGGGGATCACCACTGGGAGATGAGAGTTTCGGCACATCTATGCTCCCCATTAAAGCATAGTTTATCTCCCCACAACTGCATAAGTAAAAAAGGAGTGAATAGGAATATCACATTCGAAATAACTTAGTTGACATACTACGAATATGGTCAGCTAACCGATTGCAAAGCCAATTCTACATATTGGAAAAAAAGATTGCACATCCTCTTGCTTCTGATTCGAACCGCCGATTAGATAACACATACTATCCGAAATAAAATTCATCATCATACGCTTTGATTACACGCTATAGGCGCCAAATTAGGAATATTTCGATGGTGGACCGTATTTTAATTTTATTTTTCTTTAGCTGCTAGATTCTTTCGTGACCTAAGTTAAATACTAAAAAGAAGTTGAATTATAAGGTCAAGAGATATTAGGATGTTTAGTGAAATTAGGATAAAGCACCAAGACAAGGACGCCTCGAATAGCAGCTGAGGCTTATCCCTATATTATTTTATTAAAAGGTAAATTTTTCCACCAAAGGAAAATATATTAATTAATCGCAACATCAGGAAAAAGCATAAGTGACTTGAAAAAACCACTATCGTCGTAATGTTTTATAGTACATACTATAACTTTTTCGTTATTATAAGGTATTTAGTCAATTTTTTTGTTAATATTTGCCTTTCTATGTTTACACACTGGCCAAGAAAACATTTAAATCATTCAATACGCTCCATACGGTAAATAAACCTATTTATTTTATTTATATTTAAATATAAATTATACAATTTTTTCCTGACACAAAATTCTCATCCTGGATTTGCTTATATTTCTTTTTCCAGTACCGATTAACTCGTAACAATATTCAAAGAAACCGTTAGCCATCAAGTTTTCTAACGATTGTAAGTTAATTTTGCAAAAGCACGACAAAGTATTTGATAATAATACGCGGAACTGGTGCAAGTTCCTGACTCAAAGGACTAGACTAGCGCTCAAGAAATTCCTAAAATGACATACAGATGTGGTATGACTATTGAAGAATCCATGCCATACTTAGACAGTGCCAATCTTTAAAGACAACGTGTCGAAATTTCATAACTTTGCGACAATTAGTGTACAAGTTACATTTGTTCTTAGAACGGAGTTGCGAAAAATTAAATCAAAAATCTTGCCAGAAATTTGTAGTCCTGTTACAACATTATCTACGAAATAAAAAAGAGTTATATATAAAACATCATGTGAGCTCTGCTACTCTCCTACTTTCCATCTTCAATGCATGCAAATTATATGAACACAATATTGGGCCCCTTACATTTCAATATTTCTATTAACGTTACAACAACATTATCAATTAAATAAACAACGTTTTCAATGAAGTCAATAACTTGTTTATGAAACGAAATCGTATAATAGGCTTTATTGTTCTCTCACTTTTCAGCGGAGAGTATCTCCTACGTGCGGGATTTAGATGAATATGATTGTCTTTAATTTAAACTAATCTGTTTTTTTTGGATTTTTTTTCGATGTTTTGTAAAAAAAAATAGATTTATGGCATACATAGTATACATATTTATAAATGAAATTTACTTTTGCAACCGGCAGGATAAACCCCATGGCCAAGATTACGGTTTATACAACTTTCCGGAATTTGCCCTTTTAAATAATCTTCCGGGCCGTTCCAACCACAGCAAGAGTACTATAAAAATGCGTAAGAGAAAAGGATTAGTTTAGTGGTCTAACTAACTTTTACGAAAGTTGTAGCGAAACCTGCACTTAAGATTTCAATATGAATCCATTTAAACAATGGATATGTAATTTAAATAAATGTTAAATATACATTTAAACGAGCTAACAATTTTTTTACTTTTTAGACAACGAAAATGTCAATTACAGTGTTTTCCATTTATAAGCGCTTATCAGGATATTATGTTCATTCACAAACTCGACGAGAATACTATTGAAATTTGGACACAACATAGCGTTATAGATAAAGTAAAATCAAATGTACTATTTTTTAACCTTCTCTCCCAATGTTTTACACAGCTATCTTTTCGAGTTATATTGCCATTCGTAATAATGCCTAATAATTACAAAACCGAATGCGGTTCTTTTACTCATTATTAAGATAAACTTATTTTCTTTACTGTTTCGTCGTGATGAGCGTAAATGTAATAATAATAGCTTAGTGCTTACCTTTCTTTGCAAGTAATCTATAAGTTCGCTTGCAAAAGCCTCTTCTTTGTTTTCAAAAACGATTTTGAACACATGCCTTAGAGTGTCGCTGAGTAAGAAGCCTCTACCCCACGCGCATACCAGCATAAACGCAATAATGATCTATAAATAAATTAGTTTATCAAATATCGTCATTTACACAAGGTATCCGCTTAAATTTTACCAAAAACACAATTTTTGATGTGAACATATACTTTCTACGACAGTTTAAAACACAATAAACGACAATCACGAAAAACAACAGGATACTGACAACGCAAAACGTTTCAAGCCAATCATGTGTTAAACGGAATAAGAGGAAAGAAGCGAGAAATATTATCCAATTGAGCTAAAATATATGAACAAATGTATTTATATTGGGAATAAATCGGTGAAATAAAATTTAGAAATTGTAAAAAGAACATGCACCTGATTAAGGCTTACTCCCCTTACACAATTGCTGAAGGTGCGTCCCAATAAGCCCATATTAGAGTAAATATTGTGTAAATAAATCGATTGCGTTTCTATCACGCTACTGACCCGTTCTCCCATTATGCGCTTGAATATATAGAAACAGAATTAAAAGCTTTTTTTTTAACATGTACAATTTAATAAGTTTCTCTTCAGTTTGTCAATAGGTTTGTCCGTTACCACATCTAGCCACAACAATGCTCTCCAGAAACTGCCTCAATCGATTTATTTATACATAGCCTGTACAGCATATCTCATACATTGCATCATATGATTGAATTTCAAATGATCCAAACAAAGTCGATTATACATTTTTTTGTCTCTTTCTCTCTTACTTCCTTCCTGCCTTCCTTTTCCCGTTACTTTGCTTTGCAAAGTTTTAAATAAAGCAAAATTTAAAGCATTAAATTTTTTTTTTGTTTTTCACATTTTGTGCACGTGAACGTAAAAAAACGGTTTACAGAAGCTGGATTGTTGCGGAAATCAATCAAAATCAATGTTTATGTGACATGTTTATGCCTTAATTTTTAATAATTTTGAACAAACATTTTATGGCACCTGATTCACTAAATTTAAGTAAGGCATTAAAATTTCTGTCTAAACCGGATTTTGATTCTTTTCTATACGAGCAACAATATCGCTTCCAAAGCTCCTTGTATAACCGGGGAAGTACCGTATTTGAAATAACGTTTTCATAGGTTTTGTATGTTTGTGTTAATGAAGCATTGTTGTAGATATCGCTTATCTTTGGACATTCGCTTTCTTTATGTGCGTGTGTATTATACAAAAGCTAGAGTTTATAATGTTAGACTTTTCATACCCTCCGCGAACTATGGTGTAAGATATGCTAAGCTTGTGTAAAGGTGTCAGAAGGGTTAAAGAAGTTGGAATTTTATTAAGCAAATAAACGAAGAACAAGTGTATTAAAGCGGCATAATTTGATAAAACTAGGTATAAATTACCTGCATTCCGAAAACTAGGATGTCAAGAAAATGCTCAAGTACATTTAAAGATATTTTCATATGAATGGAAGTCCCTACATGGCAATTGCGATTTTAACTCCAAATTTCCATCTGACCTGGTGTCCAATTTTAGCCTACCGATCTTTTGTTATTATTGTCGGCAAGTTAGGTTAAAAAGTTAACTGAATGCGTCCGCGTGGAGTTTTCAAAAATTTCCAAAATTCTTTCAAAGACTAAGAATTCATCAAGAAATACTAAATGACACTATATGAGTATATACGTATAGCTTTTAACTTACACACGTACCTTCTTTATTGGTTTTAAGACACATCTTTAGCGTGGGTTTAAGATACGTATGAAACGTTTATATTGCAATGATTGTAATGATGTTTAATGATGGAGCGTAGTTTACCCCTAAGCTGTTCGGCTTCAGTGCGCCAAGTCTTTCCGTCTCTTATAATGCCAATAAGTCGCGGCATAAGACGGCCCCTAATCTTTATGCTTAAGGCGGATTGAACGCCTTGTATTTTCAGCGAGTTAAACGCTAAGTTGAATTGTTTGACAACAACTGAATTTCTTTATTTTCTTTGGCACTATTTATACTTAATTTTTGCATTAAATTATTCTTATCTAAACAGAATTATAATTGTTTACACGCGGCATCGCAATGCAATACTCACCCTGGTGTAGTGTGACATAAATTTTATTTTTATTTTACCAAAAGGATTATGCTGAAGTCGCATAATTCTGTCACACTTCAAGTGGATGCATACGATAGTATGCGATCACACTACAATATGTAGTCTTTGTCAACGTCCGAATCATATATCACAGAGAAATTTGCAGAAGACTCCGAATCCAAAATAAAATCTATCTAATATCACCTTTTAAGTTATCTATAAATGATGCTTTATTATTACTCAAAACTCAAGTCGGTTAGGATCCTGTTTAAGCGCACAAAAGCTAGCCGAACGAACTTTATGGCAGTGTCAGGAGAAAGCCTAGGCTTCTTGAAATAAACGATTATCGTTATAATGTTTTAAAATGCATTCGGTTTTTCATCATTCATTTCAAATCGACACAGGTGCTATCTTTAATCTCAGTTTCCATTAAATGCAGAACTTTTTCCTTAAAGATAAGCCAACGATATTGATATGTTGACATTATGATAGAATAGATTTATTCAAAGGCCATGGCAAACTAATAACAAAAAAGAAGTTTAAGTCTCATGTTACGTAGATAACGATTTTGATAGTTAAAGAGTTTTCCTCGTACCAATTTGTAACCACTCGGTAATTTATACGAAGGCCAGCTGTTCTCTGACACTCACCAAAGCGTTTGCTTTTAAATATTTAATCTGTAAATTTCTATAACTCAAAGTGTCATCCAACATATCCATAACTTGATTAAAGCCTTCACATTTGTAACATTTTAATCAGTTCTGTATCCCTTGGCCGCCTTCATCGTCCTCCATGGCTTCAACGTCCTCTTGAAATGTGTATTCTTCGGAAGGTGCTTTCTTCTTTAATGTGTTAATGGCGGTTATTCTACGTTTCTTACGATACGAGTTCAGTCGCCAACATTGCACAGTGTTACATTGGGCCATGATAATTCCATATCTGAAGTATCTCATATTAATATCTTATATGCAAATTGCATGGTATTTTATTTTAGTTCCTATAAATTTTTAATCAATGAGCAGCTACGCTTAACAAGGATACGTTAATAATTGTTCCAATATCCTACAAATGGTTATTGCGTGTAAATATGGAATAATACCTCTAAACTTAGATCAATACATCCCTTTTAATAAAGTTCATGGTTGATTTGTCTTTTATTATCGTTTACGTTGGCGGCGCACCTGTATTAACAGACGATGTTTCACTTCAGTTTTTTATAGAGCATCTAAAGCAAAATTACAGTGTTTTTGTTTGTATTAATATTTCAACTCATCCCTTTATATTCCATAAATACTTATTTGTACTTATAAATACCTATAAAAATATATTTATAAAATAAATAAATAATCACTTATTAATCAGTTGCTGTCAAAATAGTAGCAAATTCCAAAAAAAAATCTTAGGCGATTAGCGATGCTTTCAAAAAGGCATCACTTCCCTTTCCTGAGAATATTGAAACAAGGGGAAAGAATGAAAATTTGTGAATGTCAAGTTTACAATCAATGATAATAGATATTAGATGAATACAAATGATTGATATGTATACCCAACTGTGCATTCATATATATGTATATGAACAATATTAAATATTATTATATTATTCTTTTTAATAAAAAATTATTATGCGATAAAGTGTTGATTTTCTTTACTAAAAACAAAAAAAACATGTATAATCTGCCTAATTTCAAAGGCGTATTTTAATCATGTAATACAAAAGAGATTTTCATGCCCATTATCGATATATATTCTTAATTGCAATTTAAAAGTGCGGGTTTTTATTGAAATTTTGCATCCAATCATAATTCATGCAAGTGTGGTAAATAGCAGTTTGTAGAAGCTATTCGTGTAGTAATTAACAGTTTGTAGAACCTATTTCGATCATAGTTGATGCAAAAATTGGTGAGCCTTTTTTTACCATTTTTTCTTTTTTTTTTTATTGAACGCAACTCTGTGCTCTCTTCATTCACCACACATAGTACTTGTTTTATAGACGTTGCAAAAGGCAAAGAAGAAAAGGAAAACGCAGCTAACGGCTTTCTGTGTAAACTTCGAATTTTGTTACTTTAGAGAGTAAGTGAAAGAGTTTTCTAGCTAACATAGTATGTTTTGTATTTAACCTTTTTAGTTTGTTTCTGACCGCTCCGAATGTAAATATTGGAAATAGTTACTCTCTTTTCTCATACATTGACATGGAAAATCCAAAAAAATCTCGATAATCTATATCTCGGTATGCCTTTGTTTACGTCAAAATCTCTAAGCAGAAAGTTTATTGTGCAGTCTCTGAATTGTAAATTACGAAATCTTATTTAACAGCCCACATCACTGAAATGTAGTGCAAATTACGATATCACCATTTTCGGTATATTGCGTCCTTTTGTAGGCTTACGGGGCTTATATAAAATGGTGATTAAAATTCTCCTTAAAGCTTATATAACTGCCTTAAATCTTCGTCATTGAGGGGCACGAGAAATTGATTAAAAATCAATGAAAAATTTGTATAATCTATTAAATGAATGTAGCTTAAATGTAATATGAGCGAAAAAAACGAGAAATTGATAGAAAATCAATGAGGGGCACGAGAAATTGATAAAAAATCAACATGTTTCACGATCCTTCAAATGAATTTGAATATGAATATAAGCGAGAGAGAAAGAGAGAGAGAGAGATCCTCTGATATGCCGTGCATAGTAGGAATTAAACCAACGTCAAGACTAAAATCACCAACCAAGGATGGACCTGCACCTATCCGATTTGCTCATGATTAAGTATTATTACATATTTAGTCTCCGCCTGAGTGGCCGAATAGACAAGAGTCTCGACGAGCAACTCAATAGTCGTGGGTTCAAACCTCAAGTGCGGTAGAGTTTTTAATAAAAAGCCGATAGCCCTAGATGCTGGTGCTTTAAGACTTTAGTCTTAGAATTTATTCTCTGGCTAAATTTATAATAATAATAATAATAATAATAATACATATTTTAGTCACTCTCAAATGAATCCAACCTTCTCCTCTCAAATTCATCCGCTAGTCATGCTAATGGAAAAACGATATATAAACATTTATATAATATAATATATTTAAGCATTTATATATTGTATTATATATTATATATAAGCATTTATATATTTATATGCATACATACAAATGTACGTACGCACATTTTAGTACGCATTGCGCTATAAGTCATAGTATAAGAAAGAATAACGATTTACGTCTCCACCATCGAAGGATTACTAGGGGCACAAGATTTTTCCTTCCCTTCATTCCGCACACAAATACGCGCATTGCATGTAGGCCCTTAATTACCGTAACACAGTAGTAATGTACTTAAATAGCTTAACCCAGATGGGTAGCTAGCTCCTGCATCGTGCTCGTACCACAAAAGAACTCTCAAAACAACTACATCTAATCGAAGGTATAGAGCCCTGTGAATTCCTCGTGAAGTTCATAAAATCAAATTCAGAGCATAAATTAAGAGGAAGGCCACATTTGACTACTGGATAAAAATGACCAAGGCGACACCATAATGAAAATGTTGCAAAAGTACATCTCAAGACGTCTTTAACATATTCAGGCACATGCTTCCTGCCACGTAAACCATATATATAGCGTACCATAGAATTTACAGTTCGACTAAGCCTCAAAAAGTTGCTAGCAGTAATACCAGGAACCACTTCCAGCCCATACAGAACTTGGGGACATCAACAAAGCATGAGGAAGTCGGAATTTAATCCGCTGTTATAAATAGATGCTATTGGAATAAACAGACCGAATATTTTTTTTTTTTTATGTGAGACAAAGCGCCTCTTACGTTTAACATCAAACAGCCAACTCTAAAATCGGTTGTCATTTAATAGACTATTTTATATTAAATTACCGGGGATGGGATTCTCAAGAATTAGTGAGTAGATTCGTCAACAAGAATTGACGTATGCTTAGTTTCTTTTATTATTTGATAATAATAACCATTAAAGGCTATACAATTATTCAACGGAATTGTATGTAACAGTAAATATAAAGGTAGCATAGCTGATATCAGGCAAAATTGATTTCGCGAACTAAATACTCTCTTTTCAATATCTTGCTAATCGAATACGGCTGAGCTTGTAAAGAAAATCTAAGGTTATAATGTTGTTATAATGTTGCGGTACGTTGAAAGATCAGAATCCAAAATTTTTTTTCAGATGTTCATCTGCTGACGATATGAAAAGGGCGATTTTCCCACATATCTTCTTTCACTAAAGATATATCCGGCACCTTTATTTACGACAATCTGAAAATTGATCTTATGAACACGCCTCAAGTTATTCTTAGAAATATAATCCAATTGGGCTTGTACATACATGCCCTACCATACTTAGGGCTAGATCAGACGATTTTTCCTATGATCGAGCCGACGAATGGCGTATATAATGATATATATATATATGTACGTATATATATGTATTATCTCAATGTTAAAAAATCGATATATATTTATTTATCTATATATCTTGATTAGCGCAAGATTCAAGAAGAGCGAAAGAAATCTGAAATGCATACCAGCTCGTGCAAAAGAAAAAACAATAAATAGCAATACGAAGAAGATATTGTGTTAAAATTTAGCCCAAGTATTAATGGCGGTTGTCTAAAACTTCAGGGAAAAAAACGCAGCGAACGTGCCGATTTTAAACAAGAAGTTATGGTAAATATTAACTGAAGAATTATTTTCCAGATTCTTTTGGTTCCGATTGAACAGGAAACATATACAATGTATATGATAAATAAAGCACTCGCCTGAGCTTACGTTACGTCGGGATTGTACTTATATCTTTGCTTTAAACTGATCGTAAATCTGCCATTTTTGAAAAAGGGATTTTTCAGGAAGGGTTAAGTTGTTGGGTTTTTTATTCTTATTAGAGATAAATAAATGATGAGAAAAGCACTCAATTTAGTGCTATTGGTAACCCGAATATTTTGTTCCTCCATATTTTGCGAAAAATCGAAAGATTTTCCAATAATTTATTATTGTGGGCTTCTTTCTTAAATCACTTACGAAAAATTCTGTTTATAAATATGTCGAGTGGCGGTGGCATTTCAGATTCATCGACTGGTGGCGGTGGTGATTGGATATGTAGCGATGTAACGTGAGTGTAAAGCATCGTAATCTTGGAGGCCTAGCACCACATCTAAAATATCTCGAAACTATTTGTTTTCCTATCAGAAACGTACTAATTGAACAATTTTACCACGTTTTCCTGTATGGACATGCAACGACCTATTAACTGGGTTTGCATGGCCTTTGTGTTTTTTATCTCTCTCCACAGCTGCCGTCATTTGAATTTTGCCCGTCGCACGCAATGCAATAAATGCCATCGTGCTCGAAGCAGCGAACGCACACTCGCAAAGTCTGGCGGTTTAACGAAGAAAAAATTGGGCACTGAAATTGGAAAGGCAGCAGCCGAAAAGTCGCGAGGTTTGTTTAGCGCAGAAGATTGGCAATGCAGCAAATGTGCCAACGTTAATTGGGCTAGACGACAAACCTGCAATATGTGTAATGCTCCCAGATTTTGCGACGTTGAAGAACGTACCGGTGAGTATCTTAGGAAGATATTATAACTCAAATATTAAAGGAACTCATATTAGGTTATGGTGGTGGCTATAACGATCGCGGCGTTGTTGAGTATAAAGAACGGGAAGAGTCTGATAGTGAATATGATGAATTTGGCCGTTTAAAAAAACGGAAGAAAATTTCTGAGCACAGTTCAGAAATAAATAAAAAGAGGCTTGACCTGAAGAAAGGATCGCAGAAAGAAATTGACGAGGAGGATGACGAAGAAGAGGGAGACGATGAAGATCTAGCCAAATATGATTTGTTTGGTGACGAAGAGGATAACCTTAGCAATGGCTTGGGGAGTGCAAAGCAAGCAGCCGACGTCAGTAAAAAACTGGACAGAAAAGACAGAAGTCCCGTACCCAAACGATCCCATTCAGAATCATCATCCAGTTCCGATTCGCGTAATCAGAGCAGTCGCTCGTCGTCCGTGTCCTCGTCTTCTTCTACAACTACGTCGTCTAGCTCTTATCGATCACGCTCAAATTCACGAACTCGCAAAAGTTCTAAGTCACGTAGTCGTAGCCGTCAAAGAACAGTAAAACGGCGCTCTTTGTCTTCTGAAAATAAAACAAGGTCTGCTAATCGGCTTAAGTCTACTTCAAGTCAACGACGGTGTACAAATTCGTCGAAATCACGCTCGAGATCTCGCAGTTCTTCACGTTCAACAACACGCTCCTCCACACGTTCCCATCATGGAAGCTTTAAAAATGAGAAAAATCGTCGTAGCAGGAGCCGTCATTCAAAAAATCATCCACCTCACCGCGAACGTTCACGTTCTACCTCACTTCGTCGAAGACGCTGAATGTCGTTACAATTTTCTTTAAATTCCGTTAGGCCATAACAAATATTGCATTAACCAATTCCAAATGCCCACTTCTAATTTTAATAACGCAAAAAAAAGAAAAGAACCTTTGCCTCTACTATTGAATATTAAATACAGTTATCTAGAATTTACTATTCGCGTGCTACGATCAGCTTCTCACTTTCATTTTATTGTTTACAACTGTCCAACTTCATTTTTTAACTTTGTTGTTTCCTCACGTAGCTCTTTCAGTTCACTCAAGCGTTTCTTATAGTCATCGATATTTTCTAATGTCACGGTTACGGGAATATCTAAATCTAATTGCTCCTGACGGACAAATTCCAATTTTTTAATTGCATCCTCGAGAAATGGTATTTGTTGCTCTTCTAATGTTTTGCGGTATTCATCCAACTTCTCTTTTCGCAATTTCTCACAATGGATATCGGTCAGCTTTTTCAGAGATTCTTTGCGTGTTATCCAATGAAACTTTGCCGGTGGTGGTTTGTAAATCAAATCAAGCTTTTCCAAAATCCATTCGAAGCGACGATAATCCCAACGCCTTAGATACTTTAGGAATTTTTTGCGCTTCTCAATCAGTTCCTTAAGTTGCACTTTGATCCCTTTATCACGGGGAAATTGTGCCATATGTTCTTGAAAACGACGTATAGTTGCAGTCATGCGAGCAACTAAAATGTTTAAGCTGTGAAAAGATTTTATTCTAATTATTATTACAAGCTTACGTTTTGCTTCCATCGACCCATAATCCAACCGATGCCGTTGAACTTCTTTCACAAATGCATCACGATAATGAGCCGAAGTAAAGTGTCTAGGATTATTTCCTAACTCAAATAACGAACGCACCATTTGATCTGCGCTATTGAGAAATTATATTCGCCAACACATAATGTGTTTTTGTTGTTGATATTTATCACAGATAGACTTACGTTTCAAGTTCTTTCGATTTTCTAAATTCTTTTATCAGCTCTTTAGGATCAACTGGTGGCAATTTTGCACAATCGCCACTTTTTCGAGGATCTATTGAGGGAATTTTCTCTGGTCGCACCCATTTAATTTTCAAATCCGATTTGAAAGCATAATTGCGAGCAATTTGTTGCGTCGCTATTTTGTAGCTTAGTCTTGATATATTATATGCATTCATCCTTCTGAAAGCAATACAGCAGTTGCAAATGATATATAAGTTAGTCTACTAATTTTTGAGTTAATTTTCATTCGTTTCTTTTTACCTCAACAATTACTTCGACAACAAACTACTATTTAGGTAATTTTATGGTTCGGTTATGTTTTTTCACAGATGTTTTTTTATTTTCTAGAGATGCGTATTTTAATAATTTTAATATCGGTATTTGGAAATATAGGAATGAAATATCTCTTTCTTTATGCACTGACTGAATCCTTTTTAAATATTTTAAAAATTATACTTTTCAATCTTTTTAAAATTTTTCCGTTTTTTACAGGTCAATTGGCGTAAGCAAAAAAAAAGTCCATGTGTTTAATCGCCTTGTGGCGGTTTTCCCGGGTGGCTCTATACTTGCTTAAGGGAAGCAAAGTGTTTCCAACTGAATTCTTGACGCAAAAAAAGGTAGAGTCTAAGTGCGACAAATACTAGTAATTGGCTGTCGTTCCGACCGCTGCGTCAAACCGTGAAAACTTCTGTATTACAAGCAATCCATTGACAGGCATGTTGCTCTTACAAATTCTTGCAAAAGTACCTACCGTTAATTTATGGGGTAATATTGTACCGTTAATTTATAGGGTAATATTGTAAAAGTCTTGATCAAATTTTATTTATACATATGAAGGTGTTATCAAAATTACGGTTAAACATGCTTCATTTTTAGAAGTTAAGTAATTAATTTATTTTCATGATCGGACTTTAATAAGTATTTCCCTTTTGGCTTTAATTTTCCTTCCATTATTCTTTTACGTTCAGCTTGTTTCTCTAAACCTAATCTTATGTAGCGCTCTTTAGCGTCATCCAATTCCTTACACATGGCTACGATTTTAGCGGCAATTTCTCGCTGCTTCATTAAGCGTCTTCTTTGATTTGACTGTAAAAATAACAAAGTTAAGACTAATTGTCCATATTTGCAAACAGTTTTGTTTACCCCCATTGGTGTAGGACGACCGTCAGGGAATTTGTAATCCGGTAAAGTATGCAGGGGTCCAAATGCATTTGGATTTGCTGGTAATCCGTGCTCCTCACGCCATCTTTGATCAAGAGCTAAAATGCCGCTGGACGAGACTTTGCGTACTACAGAAAACATCACAATTATATTTAAATTCAACACAGTAAGTAATAGGAATTAGCCTCGTGCATTAGATTTTAGAGGATTTTTATGAAAAGTTGGATAATCACAAATTAAGCATTATACCATGGGACAAAATATATTACTTTTATTAAACTTTTAGCTTTATTATATTGATTATTTATGTATGCTTACTGAATGAGTTTGAAGGAATTCCTCTGGATACTTTTAAAATTAACATTTGTAAGGATTTTTCTTTATTTCAGTTTACAGCAGCTTGCCAAGTCTTGATATCTCCTTAAAATTGTCTTTTAACTTGAGAATTGTAAACAGCTGTTATAAGGTTACTGTTGACGGTTAGTCTAAAAAATAACAAGCCCCAAGTAATTTAGCCTCATTAAAGCAGAATTGTTTGATTTTATTGGAAATGAAGGAAGGCCTTAGTAATGCACGAAAGCAAAAAAGTAGATTTTAATATATCTAGATCTTTTATACAACATTATAATAGAACAGAAAAGGCCTTCATGGAAGGCCATTATCCATCTCAAATCCCTTGAGACTTGGCAAAAGGCAATAAAACACGTATGTGTATAGATGTATTTCATCCAAGCATATAATCACTTAAATATATTTAAGCAGGAAAACGGTGTTGAGTTTCTTTTTCTTTATTCTTGTTCTTTTTTCATACTTATTTGTTTACATAAAAGACCATATGTTTTGCTAACATCCCTGACATCCATCCGTTCACATAGGTTTGTTGTGTTATACGGAAATAATTCTAAATTATGTAAATTGTGCAAAAATTCAATTTATCCCGGTTTATAAAATGGAACTGGAAGATTTTTATATAAATGAGGAAAGAACTCTTACGAGTGAAGATAAAGAAAAGTTACTAAATCAAAATAAACGTTTAGTATCGGACTTTCAAGCGCGTAAACTAGAGGCAGAAGCACAGAAGCATTGGGATTTATTTTATAAACGCAACGAAACCCGCTTTTTCAAAGATCGCCATTGGACAACACGTGAATTCAAAGAGCTTCTAGCCGTCGATAACGAAACGCCAGATATACAAAATCTATTAGAAGTGGGTTGTGGCGTCGGCAATTTTGTATATCCGCTAATCGAGGAACTTGATGTTTTACATCAAGCCAACAAGTTCTTTTATTATGTTTGCGATTTTTCACCGAGAGCCGTACAGTTTGTGCGTAATCATCCCCTCTACGATGACAAACGTATATTAGCATTTCAATGTGATATAACGACCGAGGATATCCAACAGCACATAGCACCCGGCTCAATTGATATAATAACGATGATTTTCGTCTTGTCCGCTATCACTCCAGAGAAGTTTTTATTGGTTATCAAGAATTTACACAAGTTACTGAAAATTAATGGTGTAGTGTTGTTTCGTGATTACGGTCTTTACGATATGGCCCAACTAAGGTTTAAATCAGGACACAAAATAATAGATAATTTTTATATGCGCCAGGATGGAACGCGTAGTTATTACTTCGAGAAGAATGAATTAGCCAAATTGTTTTTAGCGAGTGGCTTTGAGATTCTTAGCAATACGTATATTCATCGACGCACCTTAAATGTGAAAGAAGGAATTGATGTGCCGCGTATATACGTGCAGAGTAAATTTAGAAAATTATGAAACTAAATTAAGAACCCTCAAAGACATACTTAATTTAGTTATATTCTTGCTGGGCGTTTATCTAACCGCCGAACTGAAACTTTATTTTTTTAAATTACTATTTTATGCCGTTCGCAACACATAAATTCCTCATTAGATTAAGGCAATATTTTCACTGGTTGAACCAATTTTTGGAACAATAATCATTGATTAATCAATTTTGTATTTGAAAATGAACCGGTCGAAAGAAACATCTATATACGTGAATTAATTTCCATTTTCAACAAGTAAACAAGCGAAACATTTGCTTCATCGGTTCGGAAATTGATGCGTTGTTACCATTCATTGTGTGAGTAGGTCGTAGGAAGTTCTCTGATGATAGTAGACATCCATCATAGACATCTATCATATCATCGAATACAATACCATGTCGAGTACTCTTTAATCTCCTTGTGGCTATTTTTTTTCGCAAATGGAAAATTGTCACTTGTCTGATCCATCCTGCTATAAATACTACTTATTTAAATGTTTTGAAGCCTTTCAACAATTAGTCATCGCTTAAAGCTTTTCACGAAAGGGTTTACTCGACAATTCTCCACTGTCGGGAATTTTCAGCTTGCATTCAAAAGCAAGTCTTAATGAATTTCCCATTTCGACCACATACTATTTGCGGTATAAGGGTATATTGAGTGTGTGTGAATGTATTCGATACGCAGAACCACGTTCTATTATATCGATCGATTCAGAATCACTTTCTGTGTCGATCTAAGCTCATCTGTCCATCTATCTTGCTTTTTTTCCGTTGAACCTAAAGGTTTTTAGGTTAAAGGTTACAGGTTTTTGGTTCGAATGGAAAGTGTCGTCAACATTTTGCGAGAATAGAGGAGCATTTCCTGAAGATTAAGGCAATACCATCAAAAAATTTTCAAGTAAACTTACGAAACCGCGAGATAAACGGAAATGCTAGTGGTATAACGTGTAAAACCGAAGGAATTAATTCATGCATTAAAATAAAAGTGAAATCCATTTCATTCCATTCTAGTGATCTTTGACAGATATCGATATGAACGCTGACCCTAACATTTCTTTGACAAACCTTTAATTGACAGAATAGAAAACTGCTTCATGTATTGCTTGTCCAATATTCGCTTTTAAGCGAATATAGCTTTCTTATTTCGTTTTTAATCTTTATCCTTAATATCCTTTTGTTATTATTATTATTTATATAGTATATGCGTATGTATATGTTTGGTAATTTTAAATAACATAACATTTCATATTAATTTTAACATTCAATAGATACATTTATAATTTCTTATGTAATTTTATTTTTGTTAATTAATTTCAATTATAATACATTTTGTCAGATCATGTTTAAATATTTATTTAATGCTTAAAATTAAAAATACAATTATTAGCAACTTGTAAATTCAATAGGTTTCCAATAAATTATACGGACAATTGAGAATGATATTAATGGTGCTAATATTTTGGTAAAATTATCTAAAGGTTTTTGGTTTATCTTTTTTTTTTTATTTTCTTTTACGAATTTTATAACAATTTTTATTCTTTAATTCCTTTCCCTATAACAATAATTATCCAGTGTCGGCTTTGCAAGTGTATGTGCATATGCATATGTGCCGTAGTGTCAAATAAAGTTGAAAAAGTTTTTTTTTTGCTTTTTAAGCGTACTGGCAGAATACTTGTACTCTGCAAATTGAATGAAGAATGGAGTACAAAAGTTTGGAAAAGTTATTTATAAGTTCTCTTGGTGACTATACAAATCTATTGTCATGAAAACCAAGAAAATTATTTTAAAACAAAGCAAAAGTTTATATCTACTTAACAATGTTTAAAAAAAAAAAAATTTATATAGAAAATTAAAAAAAAAAAAAAATCGTATCACGCAACCTTCATTAGAAGGTCGAGATTTGCTACACTTTGCGTTATCCTCTTCTTAAATTTTTAGATCAATCCTTCCGAATTTCAGGAACAATTTAAATAAATAGTACATATCTGTATAAATATATATCAAATGCAAAACTAATCGTGTTGGCACAACATTTGAATTCGAAAATTATAAAAAAAAAAAATAAAAAAAATACCCCCTTACCCTAAACGTCATTAATTACCATCCACCACCTTTTTTTTGTTGCAGTAATTGCTGTCTAATCCGCAATGCCTATTGACTGGGCTTTGATATACGTAAGCAATGTGTGATGTAAATGGCTATATGGTGTTTTTTGCATTTTATATAAGTAGCCAAGGCCACTGGAAGTTAATCGTTACCATCACCTCTCATTAATCCACTAGAGTATCGTTCGTTTTTACATTTACAATAGCGGCATTTATTGGGGGCAATTCCGTACTGGATTCAAAACTTTTTGTTGTTAAAAGGTCACTGCTGGTCAAAGACGTAGTTGTAGCGGTACTGTTATTGTTACTAGCTATACGACCCGTGCCGGTGCCACCGCCGTTCATTTCACTGTCGATACTAAAACTACCACTTCCACTTTCATTGGCCATTTGCAGCGTTTGCATTGGCAGCAATTCCATAGTATCAAAAGTTTCATACATTTTCCCTTTGGGTCCGGGACTTTTCTCATATTCCGACAACGAAGCATTACATTCCATTTGTAATTGCATTAATGAGTTACGTTGCGTATGCTTGTCGAATTTTCGTTGCGGAGGTTTCGGTGGCTCGATAGTGACGCTGTTTATTGCAACATTGTCCGGAGTTTGTTGAGATGATTTGTTAGCTTCTTTATCCTTATCTTTGTCTTTTGACTTTTTAAAACCGGCTATAAGTGCTTTATGAGCCTGAGCTTTAATACCTTCCATGCTGGGTCGAATTAACGAATTTCGTGACGGTTGCTGTGTAATCTCTTTTTGAGTTTGCTCAGCCGTTTCTTCAGTTACGCTGGCCAATTGGTGAGATGGTTGCGATACTGTAAGGTCTTGCACTTGTATGGGTATATCATCCGGCAGCTTTTTCGTACGGAATGATGCATTAGTTATCATAGATTTAGAAACAGCGGTGGTAACAGTATTGGTTGATGGCGTCAAGGCGACACTCAATCCCATGGGACCATCTGAAGGCTGTCCTGAGGGGTTAGCATGGAGTGAATTCCTTACCGCACTCGTTATTAATATTAACTCTGTGTACATTTCGAAGCAGGCGCGATTGTGAATCTCTTCCAGTGTTTGTATAGCCACCGTACCGAAACCATTAAACATGGCAAAATAAATAGCATGCACGAGTTCGACAAGGAATGCAGACGATAAAGGAATGCGTGGAGTCATTGTCTTAGACATTAATGATTGATCCGATCTATATATAATTAAGTTAAGAATAAGAGCTTAAAAATAAAAACTATAAATAAATATAATTAATTCATTCTCTCTCTTACCCGTACGATACTCGATGAGCATATGTAGTTTTACTAGCAAAACCTTCGTTAACTAGCTGTGACGTGACGCGGCACAAATGTATTAAAGCCGATTTTTGTGTTTGACTTACTTGCTGATTATAACAAAATAGCAATGCAGTCATGATTTTTAACCGATTATATGATGTTATAGCTTCAATACTTGGATGCGGTCCCCATTTAACTTCTCGATTACAATTTTCTTCCCATCGCTTTAGATCAGTTATTGGCAAATTTTTCTCTTCATGATAAACGGAAGCGTGTGCCAAAATCGGCATACGAAATTGTACAATTTTCTGACCGCCATCTTCTGTAGACACTTCTCCATTGTATATACAAATTAGCAAAGATTCAAGGCTGCGTACACCCTTTTTATCACCGTTCGCGACTGCATGCAGGTACGTGTAAATGAGTACAGGTATAAATTGCAAAGGAAACTTATGCAACGCCTTTTCCGAACTACGATAAAATGTCAACAATTGTTGGCATATATCATGAACCAACGATTCATGTCTATGACGTTCACTGAATATTGTGAATATAGCCTCAGCTATCTCCGAATCTGTGTCATGTTCATTGGCGAACGCTTCGATCTCATCTGGTTGGGCCTGTACTCGTTGATAGTCCGATAACCAGTCTTGGACAATCGATTCGGCCATCACTCAGCTAAAACAAACACTCACCAACGAACGCACAATTAATTATTTTGTAGCGTGCTTATCTTTCAAAACAATTAATTATCGAAAATTTCTTTCAAAAATTTTTGATAAAATGATGATCAAATCCTAATTCTCTCCACAAACACTTATTACATTACTTTTCACATAAAGTTTTTTTACTATTATGAGAGGAGAAAAAAAAATTTACTATTATTTGACGTAATTTTGTTGTTCCGATTACATGTCAAAAATTAAGAGGAACAGTGTTGCTGGACTAATGTAATTTGAAAATTCCTATATACCTCATCTAAACGTTTCACATTAGATAAGAATATCTTTAATTTTGACTAAGCTTATCAGCCAAAAATTTAAATTTTTAAAAAAAATATTCTGTGTGTGTATTAAATATATCTCAAAGCAAGTAACAGAACTATAGCGGGACATAGCCAATCCTTAAATGAACACAAGAAAATAACACAGACGGATAGAGGATGTAAATTGATTCAGAAAGTGATTCTGAATAGTCTGAACTGATATGATGGGTCCATCTAAAGTCTTTCTGGATGTTGCATACATCCGCACAAACTTAATGCACCTTTGTACCAAAAGTGGTGTAACGTATATCAAAATAGATAACATTTTTTCGCACAATTTTTTCATATCAGCAAAGTTCCAATTAGTATGAATTTTGCTCATAAATCCTTTTCTATGCCAATTGCAGAGAGATTGTTTAATTAGATTAATTAAACTTTGTAATTAACAAAAACAACAATTTTACTTTTAGCATTAAAAAAAGAAACTATTTTGGAAAATCCAAATAAATCACCTATTAATAACCTAGACGTCCGGGATCATCTTAAATTCGCTAATTTTATATTCGAAATATGGAACTTAATATAAATTGTAATTTTCAGATTTTTCGCCTTTGTATGTGAGATAATCGCAGTTTTCTGTTTATTCGTATAAACAGTTTTTTCAAGTTTGTAAAGTTCTCTCTCTTTGATTACTTTTTAAGTAATAAATCGTCGTGTGTTACACTTTTTTTTTCACGTGAATTTCAATTTAATGAATTATTTAGTAACGAAATCTTGAATGAAATTATAATTAGGTAGAAAATTTACAAATTATCATGACCACGAGGACGAATACTATTCAACATAATGCCAATGGCCAAAAGAAATCACTCAAAGATATTTGCAATAGAGCTTGGACAGCAAAATCGGAATGGCTTGATAAGGTTAGTAACTGTTAATATTAATTTTTAAGAAAAGAGTTGTTTGTTAAATTATTTACAGGAAGAATTTTTGGATGTCATTTACTGGTCCAGACAAATATTCGGCATTTTACTTGGCGTAATCTGGGGATTCTTGCCGTTAAAAGGATTTTTGGGTATAGTGCTGTAAGCAAAAGCTCCTAATTAAAATGCACTTAGTTTACTTGATCTAATTATTTATTCAACGCTATAGTTTTGCTGCCATTAGTTGCGGTGTCGTTTATTTGTACGCAATTAACTTCCAAAATATTGATGAAGAATTATACGGAGGTGCTTGGGAATTAGTTAAGGAAGGTTTCATGACTTCATTTGCTGGTTTTTTGGTTACCTGGATAATTTTTTATACTGGTTTGCATTATGATGCTATTATGGAATCGAAAGGCATATATAGTTTAACCCTAGAAGTTTAAGTAGATTGATAAATCAATTTATGGTCCATTATTGTTATATACGAAAACCGAGAAAAAGTGCACGACATTATTATTTGCCAAATATTTAATTCCATGCCCTACGCGATTGTAATACAAGTCTCCGAGCTGATGTGTTTGTAAAAATTATTTTATTTGTTAAATAAAATTGGTTTTTCTTTGTGAGGAATAATAAAAGGAATTATTCCAAATTTTTATATGCATTCCTAAGTAAAATAATGTTGCTCGTTTAAATGAAATGATTTAGAAATGTAACAGGTATGTACTAATGAATATCCATAGCAATTTCATTCCTTCCACTTGTGCCGTTTTGCGTCGAGTTAAACGAGAAGTTATCAGGAAATCGTCCACTTTGAAGAATCTGAGATAAACGTTCAACTTCTTGTAAGGAGCTAGCTCTCTTAATGGCTTCACGTATGCGCAACAGATCGTCAGCGTTGGCCACACGTGTTCCTCCAGTGACAGTTTTGCTACCGGCTTCATTCGTTACTGCTATGGCGGATAATTTTGATTTCTTTGCAATTTCCTTTAGCATGTCTTTGCCTTGTTTACTACGGAAAAATTCTTGAGCGACTTTTCGGTCTTTTTGTTTGATTTTTCTAAAATCTAAAAGTCGCAATTGCGGAAACTTCCATGCCATATATTCTCTATAATTGGTTTTAGTAGATACGGGATTCATCAGTAAACATAATGTTTCCAAATTAGGCAACTGGGACAAAGGGTCAAGATCGCCAAATTCTTGCAAGTTATTACCGCTAAGGATTACCGAATTCAAATTGGGTACCATTTCTTGTAGGTCTTCACCAATTCTTAATATGCGATTATTATTCAAAAGCAAACATTTAAGGCGAGGTAAAAATGGTAGCCCATCCAGCTTTCTTAAATCGTTGTCAGACAAGTCAATGGTGTCGAATTGGTCTAGTGTGGCTCCAAGATTTTCTATTTGCGGTATTTTATAACCGCGCAAATCCAATTCACGCTCACGGCAGGGATTTATAAATTGCATTGATTGGTTTATCAATTCCGGCGTTAATTTTACCATTATATGTTAATTTATACTAATGTTAACAAGATATTTTATGAAATACTTTACAAAAATAATCGTAGTATCACAAAATTTACAGCGTTATTTACTGCTTGTTCTTATTCGCGTTTATGTAGTCTATGCGGTGTGATAACAATCAATCATGTTTAATTGTGAACGTTTAGCAAAACGTTGAAAAAAGGGAAAATTTTCATCCTTCGAAAACCAACGCTTCTGTATATTACTAAAAGGGATGAAAGGCTCAAAATGTAAGCATCAGAAAAACGCAAGAACGATTGAATCAATTTCCTTTTTTGAAAGGAAGCTTTCAGTTTATAATGTAAGGAATATTGTCAATTAGTAATTAAATTTCTGCAATTTTTTGAGCAAAATTTGTACTTCTCTCCCAGAAAATACAAGTTGAAATTTCAAAGCAATCCAATATGTCTTCAATAACTAATTTTTTGGAAGAAGACATATTTGGGCAGTAGACGTGATAAAACGCAGCATTCAAGTAATTAAAGCTTTTTCTCAAGCTTGAAATAAGCGATTGCATTACTGGCAGCAAAACATGTATTGTTGTTGCTAAGTTTCGCGATTTATGTGCATGCCAGCTAACAGCTGATCATAGAATTATTGTTGGTTTTAAAGAATTTGAGAACTTAAAAAAAACATATAAGATCATCGAATTTATCAATTATCTATAATCTTTATTAATTACCTATAATATAAGCCACATTTCTTATTAGATTAGTCTATTAAAAATCAACACCCGAAAAAAAGAAATGAAAAACTTGAAAAAACGTGCGGTGATTCAATATTTATTTAAAAAGGGATTCAAATCGATGTAAATTTTCGACGATATGGTGAAAGTGTGTGTAGGAGACAGTGCTCCCTTTTATGCAACGGTAAAGAAGTGGTATATACTTAGGCGCGGTAGCTGCGGTTACAGGCATCTCAAGTGGACCAATACATGAGATTTTAAATAATGAATTAGGCGTGAGAACAGAGTTGCTACCAAGGTGGGTGCCGGATATGTTAACATCCGTGAAAGGCGCGTTCGCCTGAAACTTTCTGAAACATATTTGCATCGCTTCCACTTGAATAGAACGGACTTCGTGAATCGATATGTCGCAATGGATACCGACAGCAAAACTCCGAATGGTCTGAAGCCGGTTGTTCAGCTCCAAAACAAACTAAATGGTCAACACCGTCGAAGAAAGTAATGGTATCAATTTTTCGGGATGCGAGGGCCTTAAAATCCGTAAACCAATAACAGAAGAATATTACGTTAATCAATTGAATGACAAAATTCGTGTGAAGACATCAGATTTAGAACAAAAACAAGTAATTTTTCACCATGGTAATGCACGGGCACATAACGGAATTCTCACAATGGCCAAATTGAAGGAATTGCGCTATGAATTAAAGAAACACATTTCAGAGATGGACTAAATCAGCCAGAAGATCGTTGGAAAAAATATATTGACTTTAAAGGGGAATTACATGAAAACGGTATTTTTGGTGTAGATTTTCTCGGATGAACTTTTCTTAGACATATTTGGTGTAGGTTTTCTTGAATCGAAAATGGGATGAATTTTTCTTAGAAAATTTTGGTGTAGGTTTTCTTGAAACGAAAATCAGATGAATTTTTCTTAGAAATTTTTAGTGATTATTGCTGATTCTTGCATATTACATCCATTAAAAAAATACGATTTTACTTGTTTCTAAAATGTTATATTTTATTGTGTTATTCAGTATCGATTATTAATTAATATTAATTATAAAATTCAATTGTCGGTGAGTCTCTATGGCATTTGTGCGCCCAGAGCGGCGCCCGTTTCGGCGACGCATGCCTCTCTTAGGCCTTCGTTGCGCGCGCTTCGTTGTTACGGGGATTGTCACGACCGCTTCGACGCCAATCGGCGTCAAGGTTTCCAGTAGTTATATTCGATCCGATTTAAATTATTGCTTTAAGTTTTCAGCTAATTGGAAGTCGAATAAAGACCAGTACCAGAAACTGGCCACAAAATTAAGCGAGGAGCTGCACCATTCTGTGTCCGAGCAAAAAGTGCGAACCATTCTGAAAAATGTCAGGCGACATCTACAACGGCTCAAAAAAGGGCTGTCTCGGAGGACACATCATAGCGTATATTATGGTACGCTTGCAGATGATCGACGAGGATTTTGATGACCCGTCGACGTCAAATTAGAGAAAATCGCAGCTCCGAGCTGTATCTCTCTTTCAGCAAACACCGAAGAGATTGCGGAGGAGAAGTACTTCGTGATGTCCTCACTTTACATGATAGAATAGTGCAGGTTCAATTTGACGAAGTTTTCACAAACTTGAAGAAGATATATTCGCGAAAGGAGGACGTGCTGCGAGGGTGCGGCTACTGCAACGAGGACGCCACGGAGACTGAGCCGCACGAAAAAGCGCTCGTGTTCGCAGCGCGGAGTCTGTTGACCTCGTTCAACAACTGCAGAACGCCTACCACCACTAAACTTATACGAGTGGTTTACAGGAGCTACTTGACGAGAATCTGCAAGCCGCTGAAGTTATGGGGTTGTATGTCAAGGCTGTCGTCTGCGACCGATGCCCCGTTAACAACCGAATAGTCGGAGGAAAATTCGCCTGTAGTGTATACGAAAGAAAACGGGCAGACGGCAGCAACCACTTAATACGCCTATTATATGGCTACCCCCATTTAGTAGAAGCGCTACTAAGTAAATACAGGAGGGCAATAAAAAGCAACTATAATCTAAAACTGCTTAAGAACCTGGCGGAAATGAAGGTGCCCAGCTCACCATTCTAGGAGCAGATTGATTGTATGTCGTCGTATAGCGCGCAAAAGGGGCGCGCGCCGCATTATACCATTCCTGAGTAATACACAGGTCGCGACTTTCCAGGCGGCTATAAAGAGTAAGAAGATAGACAACTCCGACAGCAAGGCGCAAAAATCATCCGATCTAATCTTGGCGCTGACTGAGTTCATCAACGTCCTGCACCGGAGCTCCGTTAACAGCAGGACGTAAGTGCAGCTCAAATCTAAATTCCACTGCAGACGCTCAAGCAATGGACATAAGTTTAACTACGAAGAATTTCATACGCGTAATGAAGGACCTTCTGCGAGCTTAGTCTGACATAACCATTGCGCCATTCTTCTTTAACATGGCGCTCGGCTTTAGAACGAGGACCCGGTCGTCACCAGATATAATGGAGCTGGTAGATCGTCTGAGGAAGTTTCAATTGTCGAGTTTGTGTGGCGGCTCCAGGCCAGAAAATGATTACTTCCCCATCGACAAAGTAAACTACAAACTCGCAGCGAGAAACGAAGAGCAGTTTGTAGCTTGCGATCTTGATGTGGAAGTATTCCCCGACTTGTTCTCCGATAAAATGCCACACATTGAAGAAGAACACCGGCGACTGATCACGGATGCGCAAAAGGCGAGGAAGAAGCCTTGTGCAAAGAGAGGTGGGGTCGAAAGGTTGCGAGGGATAAGAGAGACAGCCTGACCTTCACCTCTAAATATCTGAAGCCGGCCTTTCCAACACAAAAGGTTCAACGTAAGAATCATGAAATAGACCGTTTAAGAACTGAGTCAGTACTCTTGCTTTTTAAATAAATGTATTATAACAATTCTACTATTATGAAAGATGTGTTGTGCTTTCGCAGAATTTCTTCTGGTAAGGATCAATCAGACAGCTGCAAAAGCAAAAATTATAGACAGATTGTAGTGAAAAATATAGAGATATCTTTGTGGAATCTAGAATAGTCCACAAAAATAGGGAAAACCCATCAGAATAAAGGTGGTAAAAGAATGCGATCAAATTCACACTCTTATTCTCGGGAACAAAGCAGAAATAGTCACAGACGTCACCGCTCGCGGTGAAAGAAAACTCTGCATTTTCTTGCCCATTCGATATGTACTTTTATATAGATTCACGTGATATAGGTGAATACAGGCGACATTTTCTAGTTTGGCCCTACTAGAGTCTCAAATTTGGGTATTTTTTCATATCCATTTTTCGCTAACATACCACATTTCAAAACACCGGTAAAAATAGCTCCCATAGGCAGAATGTGAATTTGTTTAGTTTGTTTGAAAGGTATTTTCATATAGATTCATGAAATGTCCAAAAAAATATTTTCCTTTTTTTAATATGGACGGAGTAGGTTTTCAAACCCAACTATATCTCAATTGTAATTATTTAACACAGTTCTGTTAAGTCGTTAAGAGAGTTTTGTTAACAGAAATGTTAAGGGTCTTTGCCAGTTAAATTCGAATTAATCTTCACACCCTTCTTAAAATTAAGCAAAATTAAGCAATGTTAAGCATTGTTAAGCATTGTTAAGCAATATTAAGCATAAATAAAAAGTATTCTTGATAAATCCTTATACGACACTTATACTTATTACGTTGTTGCTCACGTCCATTATGTTGTATCAGTAGCAGCTGTATTTGCGATCGTAGCAGGATTTATTTATTGATATCCTTTACTTACAGCTTTCTGCAGCTTCTCAGCATGCCAGCAGCAGAGGCAACGGGGCAAAGGTCCCGGAAGGGTCAACGAGTTTAAGTTGCACTACCGTAAAGCAACCTCTGTTAAAGCGGTCAAATTTTATTCTTTTTCCATTTTTCATAATTATTCATAACACAAAAAAAAGAGAATTGCTTACTGCGATTGCTGCATTAAACTGGGTCATGACTTGAAAGGTCAATTATACTCTTAGCTGCAAATTCATGTTATGTGGGGAAAAATTTATCTTTATTGTTATTATTATAATTAATTTAGGCAGAAAAATAAATTCTGAGACTAAATTATTAAAGCACTTGCATCTAAAGCTATCGGTTTTATTGAGCACTCCATCGCACTTTCCTTTATCTCCACTCAGGCGCATGGGAAAAATTCTAAATATATGTCTGACTATGAATAACGCCTCTTTTTAGCAAAAAAAAGAGAAAAAAGTCATGCAAAGGGTTTGCAAGAAATATCTGCAGTCTGTGAGTTATAGTTTTGGGTAATGTAGAATGAATGTCGAGCGCATGTGCAACTGTCCGAGAGTAAAAAATAAAGTAAATAACAAGGTTGCCACGAAAATCTATGTTTAC